TCCGCCCCGCCCCACCCCTCAGGCGCGGGCCGGTCACTCGCTAGGGAAGAAAAATAGGCGGAGCCAGGACCGTTGCAACTCCCCAATGAGAGTGAGGCATTGGCGCCAGCTTCCCTCTCTCCGCCCTTTTCCTTTGCTCCACAGCTATACGCCGTCTCCCGCCCACTGGGCGCCGCTGGCTAGTCGAGCCACTGAGTAAGCCTCGGGCAGGGTAGAAAGACGACTCTTAACCGGAAGTTAGTGTTGAAGCTAAGGCAGCCATAGTTGACAATGGCAGCAGGAGTTTCCTGGCTTCCGGTCTCCAACATGACGTAGATTTTTCCTTCGCCTAAAGTCACCGTTACCCCGGCAACAGCTGAACGGTCTGGGAAGGGATGCTTCTGTAAGTAGGCCCAAAGATGGACCCTAGGTGACCAGACAATGTTAGACAAGTAAGTTCATACTCAAGACTACGTTTAGTTTCCTTGCCCTTATTTTGCTGAGACGTCCGGTCACTTACCTAGGTGGACAACAGTTTGGGGCTCCGAAAAATCCCTCTCCTGTCCGGAAGTTGCATTTAGCACTTCCCAGTAGAATCATGGCAGAGGGGTGGGAATAGTTTCCACCGCCCAACGCCGCGAGGAGTGCCTATTCTTGGCAGGAATTACAAGACGAGGTGAGTGTCCCCGGGCCCCACCCACAGGGATGGCTGAGGTCGACGATCCCTGGGACATTGGAACACTGAGAAGGTAAGCGGGCGTCGGGGCCACTTCCGCTGGAAGAAGGTTTTCTTTCCGGCTGGCTCGGCAGTCCGCCCTCCCTCCGCGCCTCTGAGGTTCCCTTTGGGGCCCGACCGCTCAACAGATCGCCTAATGCTAGGTCAAGTTGCCCGGCCGGAGGGCCCCAACCGGGTTAGAGCGCGGACTGTACAGCGGAGCTGGGGCGAGGGGACGACTGGAACAAATTGGAACTCCTGACCACGCCCCCTCTTTACTATTAAGTATGGTAATTCCATTCCCTCATCTTTGGAGAATGGAGAATTCGGGAGCTGAAGAAGTCATTTTCCACTCCCAGCTGTAAAAAAGATGATTTCCCCAGCACCGGGGCAAGACTTCTAAGTCCTATTTCCTCGTCCCTTGTCCGCTTCTAATTTTACTTTCTTTTTCTTGTCTCTGGTTTCTTTGTAAGCTTTAACTGAAGTTCTGGATAAAGATATGCTGCCCTAATCCTGTGAGTTTACTATATGTTAAACAACTTAATGCTCGTGAATATTCGTAAAATTATCCTATGACTTTTACAAGGCTAATCTTGACATTATATTATGTAGTTCCTTCCGTAGGCTTCTGTCAAGAACTCCGACATCTTGGTATTACCAGATTGAATGCTAAAACAGCAAGAAAACGACCAGAACTTTCAGGTAAATTGAAAATTGATTATATTTAGCTAGTCCACGAGTGCAAATCTGCCCTCTTTTACCTAATTTCTCCTTCCTTAGTACACATGCTTCAGCCACAATGAACTAATCATGTTTCTTTTGAGGTTAATTATTGTTGTAGCAATGACCTTTTGGATTGAGCATCCATGATTCTGTTATCCTTAGAGATGTGTTTCCAGATTCTTCCCAACAGGAAGTAATTTTCTTTGAGCTTATCTAAGCACTTTTTATACCTCTTTATGCCATCACTGTTTTTAGCTTCACTATCATGTGTTACCTAAATAGAATGGTTTTGTCAAATTCATCAGCCTGTTGTTTCACCCAGCATATATTACTTTGATACTTAGAAAATGATTGGATATGTTGGGTGTCTCCAAAATGCTCAAGACACTGCTAACCAAGCTTTCTGTTTTCTCAATTTATTACAAATTCTGCATAGTCCCTGCTATTTAACTTACACTTTGGTTTCCCCTTTGAAGTCTTATCAGCATGATTTTTTCCCAAATGTTTTATCATAAAAAAAGTTCATACATTTAAAAACTAAAAGAATGTATAATAAACATTCATATTCCCTTCACTTATTCAGAAATTAATATTTTGACATATTTATTTCATCCCTCCTCAGATACTATTTTATTATTGCTGAACTGTTTGGATCTAAGTTGCAGACATTTATTTTTAGGTAGGCACCCCTAAAATGCGACAAGTAGTAGTTGTCCTTCAAAATACAATGTCATTATTACAGCTAAGGAAACTAATAATTCTGTAATATTTAAAATGTAATGTGTGCAAATTTCCCCAATTGATGCAATATTTTTATACCTTCTCTTCATCTCCTGTCTCCTAAAATCAGAATCCACCAAAGATTTGTGCATTGTATTTGGTTATTAGCACTCTTTAATCTTTTTTAAAAAAAATATTTATTTATTTTAGTTTTCGGCAGACACAACATCTTTGTATGTGGTGCTGAGGATCGAACCCAGGCCGCACGCATGCCAGGCGAGCGCGCTACCGCTTGAGCCACATCCCCAGCCCCAACACTCTTTAATCTTAATTTAGAACTGACCCCCATGCTGCTTCTCCCTGAGTATAATAATATTTTGAAGTGTTTGAGCCAAAGTTGGGTTTTGTTTATTTGTTTGTTTTTAAAGACGTCTTTTTTTTTGTTATTTCTTAATAACAAAATTAACCCAGAGGCTTAAGTTTAACATTTTTTGCAGGAATACCTGACAGTATTCATATTTTTCCAACCATGATTAAACTTTCTCAGCTGTACTACATATACCATTGTCATTAGTTGCTGTTAAATCCATCCTACTTAGCACATAAAGAATTTGGCATTTAATCCTCCTGTGTATGAGTAAGTTAGTGATTTCAGCTGGCAACCCAGACTGCCTACATTTAATAAAAGTTGCTGCTACTTTGCCTCTACTTGGAGCTGATGTATTGTAATCTGCAGCAAAGTGTACTGATGTCAGCATAGTTTCATGAGTTTCAACTTCTGGCAGACTGCTGTTGAAAGATGTGTGGGCCCTGTAATTCAAATACAGATGAATCTTGATGTTATCGATGCAGATACCAAAGCAACTGTTGCCCATCTGGCCATGATCCAATTTAGGCAATATTATTTATCCTCCTGAAAAATTCTCTTGCAAGTTTTAATTGGTCCTAGTGTTTTTTGTGATAGCTTTTGGTACCATTAAGCAGAGCCTATTAAAAATTGCAACATCAAGATTATACTTAACACTTGGTTCATTAGGAACATTCTATCCAATGGAGAGTGTGTTATTAGTGGAATTTACTTCATAATCATAAGAAGAGAACTCCCATGACTGTCAGGTTTCTTTTATGAATACTACATGTCTACCCTAGACTTGTATTTCATCTTGAAAGATAAGTGAAAGGAGGAAAGTGCACTACAGCCCAAGAAAATAGTCTGAGAGGACAAAATCTTTTAGATTAATATTGAATGTTTTTACCCACCATATTGAAATTTAAAATAATGCACTTGATCAGTTGCTTTCTTGGGTAGAAGGAAATTTGTTCATGTGGGACTATGAAAAATTTTTGTTTTGTTTTTGTTTTTGAGATAGTACTGTTTTGCCTTGGCTGATCTAAAACTCCAGGGCTGAAGCAGTCCTTCTGCCTCAGCTTCCCAAGTAGCTGGGATTACTGGCACATGCCATCATGCCCAGTTATGTAATAAAATTTTAGCTGACTCTGGATTCAAGAAACAGAAAATAATATATCAAACTATAGAGACAATTTAGAATCAGATCTGGGTTTCGGGAACAGGATTATATTCACTGGCTGGGAACAGGATTATATTCACTGGCTGGGTGACCCTGAACAGTTTACTCATTTCTTTATTATCTATAAAATAGAGCCTTAAAATCTCTTATATTGTTGAACAGAGTTAATTCAAACATATGTAAAATGCATTAGCTTGGTTTATAGCACATGGAATGTGGTCAGAGTATGATAGTTATTAGTAACTTCTAAAGCAGTCCAATTTGGGCATATAGTAGGCATTAAATATTTACTGAGTATATTACTAAATCTAAGATAGTTCTCCAAGTTTAATTATGAGGAACCTAATTAAAAATCAAAGATTCTGATTCAGTAATTCTGATTTCTGGAGAACTTGAGAAAAATCTATATTTTTAATAATAGTCTAAGGGATTTTGATGCAGATGATTTGAGGAGCAGGTTTTGAGAATACGTGTGTACAATTCTCTTTGCTTGCATACTATTGAAATAGCTAACTATTTCAAGTACTAAGCAAATACTTTTTTAAAGATTAATGGCCAGTATTCTTAAGACTTCTGTCTAGTACTGAATTTTGAAGTCTAGGAGAGGTCATTAGAAAAAGGCATTTTGTATTAAGTAGGATATGTCATTTTCTACTAACTTTATAGTACTGTCTGCTACTGGAGTATACCAGAGCCAAAAGCATCATCCAAATTCTCCCACACCAGTTCTCATTCTGAGGCCTAGACACATTTCAGACACGAGACCCCACACATTTTATTCACTTGAGTCTGAATTAATTAACCAGATTACCATGTTATAACATTTTCTACCAGCAGATTCCAGATAGAGAAGAAAATACTATGGACTCCAACTCTATGACATATGATGTTACTTGGCATCTGCAGATGAACATTATCAATCCATTAATCACTCTGCTAGCGTGTGGGCAGTTGCTTGAGGGAGTGTTACTACTTTGCTGAAAAACATGTTCTTTCTGGGCTCCCCCTTTCACCTTTTTCTCAGTTTATATCCAAAAATCTGCTATGCCTTTGAAAATTCATTTGTCGGTCAACCTTAAGTCTTGGATAAGACAAAAGAGTTTTTTTGGTTGAGTTGGTTTTTTTTTTTTAAACAGTAAAACATCATCTTTTTCTTAGACACATTTACATCTATAGGTGGCCCATTAAACCAAGATCGTTCTGAAGAAACAGTCTATAGGATCAATACACTGTCTTAAAGAGCCAGAAAAAGATACAAACAAACAAACAAAAAACATAATGATAGAGAGGATCCCCAAACCATGGCCAACAGATGGGAACCTTTAAAACAGACCAGATAGGGGAAAAAAAAAATCTCCTTAAGTTCCCAACTCCCACTTAACCATGACTCCTACACCAGTGGTGCCACAGATGTCCCCACAAGGGGACCAGATGCTCCCACAAAGGGGAACCAGAAGTGTAGAATCAAGGGTCTCTGTGTGCACACCACGGAAGCTTATCAAATGGCCAACATGTCATGACTTTACTGTATTCAGTTTCCTTTTTCCTCAAAGTAGAACTAGGTGGAGCAATCCTTACAGTGCAGGGAAGGAAGGCGGGAGTTCCTCTAAGCAAAAAGGGGCTTTGGCAGCTGCTGAGTGTCCCTCAGTCCCTCTCTCTACTTACAGGAAGAGCTTTCCTGGTTCAGTTCAACCCCAGGCATATTCACCCATTTCTTAACTTTACAGTAGTCATCTCTCAAAAAGTTCACCTTACATCCTCGGCATGGAACTACAGTTGCTTGGAGTGCCAGGCCTGCCCAAGAAAACTGAGCAGGGGCTGCTCTGGGGTCCCATCTGGGTCGCCAATATTTGTAACCAAAAGTTCGGTCCCTGTCCCCAATGCTAATTTAAATAATGAGTACATGGTTTTGAGAAAAAGAAAAAAGAAGTTTTATTGCTTTACTAGCAAAGGAGAAACACAGGGGACTCCTGTCCCAAAGTCTGACTCTGACAAAAGTTTTGTTGTTGTTATTCCTACCATTCCTGCTTTGCCCATTTACAACGTGCACTAAGCAGACTGAATTTTCTTTAAAGGAACTATAAATAAATAATAAATATTCACAAGAGAAAAATTCCCTTAATGTGCTTTATATAAATAGTATTGCTCCTGGTACCTCCTTTAGATCCCAGAGTATTTTTGTTTCTCAGTGCCCACTAGGCCAGGCATAGTGGTTTGTACCTGTAATCCCAGCTACTTGGAAGGCTAAGTGAGGAGATTTGCTTGAAATGAGGAAGGAGTTCAGTACCAACCTGAACAACCGTAGCTAGACACTCCCCAACATCTCAAAAAAAAAAAAAAAAAAGATAATCAGTGCCCACTAAAAATTTAAAAATAAGATAGTTTGGGATATAATATATTGCAGTGGCTCTATATTTTACTGTAGTTGGAAAGTCACGTGACTTTAATGTCTAGGCAGGTAAGGTTTAAAAAAAGGGAGGGGAGGAGCAGTAGTAAGGACTTACGAATTTGAGAGCACATGCTTACGGAACTGGGATATCACTTTCCAGCCCTAGCACAGTTTTGCTATGCAGGAATGTGAGCTTGGTATTGCCAGATTTGTCAGGTTGAGCTAAAATTTGGATTTTATATGAAATCTGCATATGGCTCAAATAGTTTTAAAACAAGGCAGCAAATCATTTAACTGGATAAGACCATAGGTCACCAGCTTATGACATTAGAATTTCTTAC